TTGGCGATAAGTAGAATATATATCCAGAGACAGTAAAAATCCTTTAGGAAGTTCCCACTTAACACATTTGCTTCTGTGATTCTTCACCATTTTACATCCTGCTCTTGATTTTCTGTTTCCTTTCTATGAAATTTTCATGAGTTGGCTCCTTTTGAATAAGAGAAATCTTAAATCACACATAATTATATTTACTCAGACTCTTTAATGTCTCAACTCACTGGGAAGGAGAGGGGACTATTCTCCTTGGAAATCCCATTTTGATCTAAGTTCCCAAATGGGGTGTTCCAGACCCAAATCCATTGGGTCTGTGTCCTTTGTGGGTTGTGAAAATGGCTGTGAGCTGGTTGGTGGATGGTTGGATTGAAAACAGCACTGCTGGTTACTGTCGCAAGAGATGAAGCTGGTCATCCCAACTGTGAGGAAGAGTTCTTAGTCCATCTTTTCTGTCCTTAACTCTCTTCCTTTGCCAAAACTGTTGACATTCTGCCTCTAGGCTAAATTGAAATGAAGCAGAACACACTTCAAACACTTTCCCTCCAAAGTACCTATCCTGGTCCCGCTTAGCTTCCCTTTTAGAAAGCATTTTAGGGGTGTTTTGTTTCATTTCCCCCCTTAATTAATGAATTAATTTTTCTTGCATTGTTGTAGTCCCCATAGGGCTCCAGCCACCCTATCACCCACGCACCATCATCATAGTCTCTTATGTTCTTCCCTCCCCTGTCTTGGCTCATCCTTCCCTTACTTTGCTCTGTGCCTCAGATCCACGGTCCACTTGCCAGTTTTGACTTTTTCCTGACCTTTTGTTTGAGTGAGGTCATCTGATATTTATCTTTTTCCTTCTGACTTCTTTCATTTTTTTCAATAGGTAGGGGATGTTGCAAAGTGGACCAAGAAGAATTTTGCATAAATAAATGCTTATGCTCAAACTCTCACACTCTTAGATTTTTGTTGAAATGCCAGCACTTTGAAACCCTTTCATTATCATTTCTACTTTGTTATTAAATTTGCCATGAAAACCGGTGACCCCTTGGCATTATTTCATGTGCAGAGGCATGGAAAGATATGTATAGTCTCATCCTTAGTCTCATGTGGTAGTCCAGGCAAGATTTATGAATGAGTCAACTAGACAGCAAGACTTGATGGATCATAATCTAGTCTTCAGTCTGGTGCTCTGCCTATGAAAGCTCAGGAGGAGCTATCAGGCATATGAGGTCAGTGGTGAATTGTGGTGCTCAGACAATAGTACAATTAGAAATCGGAGAACAGGGAGAAGATAAAGGTTGCCATAGTTGGTGTAGTCTGTGTCCAGCAGGTGGGTCATGAGACAGTTCTGGAGGTGGGTGAAAAGAGGTGGAATGAGTTAGAATTTTTTTTTTTTTTTTTTTTTTTGGCTTTGCCTTTTAGGTCCATGGGAAAGCTGAAGGAAGGAGCCAGGGAATCATTCTTTGGTTGGAACAAAGGATATGCACTAAGCAAGAACTATTGGCCAGGAACCAGTAAGAGATGACATGAGATTCTCTGTAGAAGGTGTTGAAAATTAGCTAGAGTTCACACTTGGATTAAGGAATTAAGCCACATTGATAAACTTTTGAGGGAGCTATTGTGGACTTAGAGAAAATGGTATGCCAATAGTTAAAATACAGGAGAACTTGTCCTGAAGCAAATGGAGCAAGGCAGAACATTTTTATTGTCATAAAAGTATATGCATCAAAATTTTACCATCTTGATGATTTTTTTTTTTTTTAAGGCTTTCTGCAAGTTGAACAAAGTTTGCTGGTTTTTGTTGTTGTTGTTGTTGTTTTTTAGATTTATTTTTATTATTTATTTGTACAAGCACTGGGTATAGTCAGAAGCGCAGGAGGGTGAGAGAATTCACCAGAGCCACAGCAGGGAACAGAACAGGCAGACTGATGAAATACACTGCTAAGGGGAGCAGCGGGTGCTGCAGGAGAGGTCTGCGCGCCATGTGGGACCCTCCTCTGGTGGCCGGGGAGCAGCTGGGGATTGAACCGGTGCTGCAGAGGCTGTGGGCAGCTTCGCAACCCAGCGCTCAACCGCTGCACCACCAGGGAGGCCCCATCTTGATGATTTTTAAGTGAACAGTTCTGTGCTGTCAATATCACATCGTTGTGAGGCCAGAGGTCTTTTTACCTTCCCCAGCTGAAACTCTAGAACCATTTAACAATTCCTATTCCTCCTCCTCCAGATCCTGGCAACCACCATTCTACGTTCTGTTTCTGTCAATTTTTACTATTCTAGTATCTCACATAAGTAGACTCACACAGCAATTTGTCTCATTGTTACTGGTTTATTTCAGTTACATAAAATCTTCTGGGTTTATTCGCCTTGTAGCATGTGTCTAAATTTTCTTCCTTTTAAAGGCTGAATAGAAATCCTTTGTGTGTGTACGCCATTTTGCTTATTCACACATCTTATAGTTGCCATCTTAATGAGTATGAGGTCATGTGTCACTGTGGTTTTGATTTGCATTTTGATTTGCACTAGTAATAGTGACCATCTTTGAATATGCTTGTTGTCCATTTGCATATCTTATGAGAAATGTCTATTCAGTCCTTTGCCCATTTTTGAATCAGGTTCTTTGTTGTTGAGTTTTAATTCCTTTGTATTGAATATTTTCTATATATAATCTCTTAACAGATAATGTGATTTGCAGATATTCAAGAATGTGTCCATGTTGAATTGGGTGACTTTTTTATATTGAGTTCTTGATATTTCCTAGAAATTAAACCCTTAACAGATATATGCGTGGTAAGTAGGTAGGTTGACTTTTTACTCTGTTGATATTGTTCTTTGATGCAAAAATATTTTTAATTGTGATGAAGTCAATTTGTCTATTTTTTCTTTTATTACATGTGTCTTTAGTTATATATTCAAGAGATCATTGACAAATCCAATACCATGAAGTTTCCCCGTTTTTTTCTAAGAATTTTACAGCCTTCGGTCTTACATGTATATCTTCAATCCATTTTAAATTAATTTTTGCATATGATGTAAGGTAAGCACCCAACTTAATTATTTTGTATATGGCTATCTGATATTACAAACTAAAATTCACTGGAATAAATTTAGGATAATTGGCTCTATTAGGTGATGCATGAACCTGGTAACTTCCAATCTAACCAGTAGAAGCATACTGCAAAGAATTGTAGAGAATGAAAGGATTTTTAACATCAAGAAGAAGGTGAGGGGCCTCCCTGGTGGCACAAGAGATTGAGTGCAACACTGTGAAGCTATCCGCAGCCTCTGAAGCTCGAGTTAGATCACTGGCCGGCCAGGGAGCTACCCCCATGGCACAGCAGACCTCTCCTGTGTCCCCGCTGCTCCCCTCAGCAGTGTATTTCAGTCAGTCTGCCTGTTCTGCTCCCCACTCTGTCTCTGGTGAGTCCTCTCATGCACACCCCTCCCCCAACAGCTGGTCTGCACCTGAGTTCTTGTATGCACAAATAAATAAATCTTTAAAAAATAAAATAAAAGAAGAGAAGAAATATCACAGGTGAAGCTGCTTTCCCTTAAGGGAAGGGGGAGAAGGAACTATTATCACGCAGATTAACTCAGTAGACCTGACTAGGAAACTCCAGATTGGTTAATTTAAATTTCCACTTTTGGTTGTGGCTGAAACTTGAGTTCGGTTAGATTGTAAGTCTTGGTGGGGTTTGATATGAATGTCTGCCATGTTGGGTATGTTGTTTCTTTTAACACCAGTTTTCCCAAACTGATTGCTGTCTTTTTCCCTTATGAATTGTCACTCTTGCTAAGAATCGTTCAATTACTTTTGTAAAAGTGTATTTCTGTGCGCTCTATTCTATTATAGTGATTTATGTGCTGTCTTTATGTCAGCACTGCACAGTTTTGATTATTGTAGCTTTGTAATAAGTTTTGAAATAAGAAATTGTGAGACTTTCAACTTTGTTCTTTTTTCCAAGATAGTTTTGAGTATTCAGTGTCCCTTGAGATTCCATTTGAATTTTAGGATGGATTTTTTTTATTTATGCAAAAAAGTCATTGGAATTTTGATAGGAGTTGCCTTGAGGCTGTACATTGCTGTGGGGGGGGTACTAGCATCTTAAAAATATTAAATCTGACAATTGATGAACATGGTACAGAGTGTAATCCCCATAAAAAAAGGAGGTTCCATGTTCCCTGCTTCACCTAATGAAGGATGGAATGGAGCAACATGGGAGGTGTGAGAAGACACAGAGAAAAGACTTGGAGGAAGACTTTGGGGAGGCACATGGAGCAGAAATACATGTGATGAAGAAGTGCTTGCTTTTCAGCTTTGGATTTGCACCAGGGACTTATGGGACATGGAAGGAGACACATGAAGTCAAGACATATAGAGTCATTTGCAAGAGACATGGGTGAGAGACCTGTGTGGAGGCTGACAATGGCAGCCTTTAACTTGACTTGTACTTTAAATTTTTGCTCCTTCTGTTCCATACTTGCCTGGCCCCTTCTGCCCTTTTCCTATGAGCTAATTTTTGTTTTCCTTGCCAGAAGAAGGAATTGTAGCAAAATTTTGGGTATCAATAGCTTTGCTTTGGGCCAACCCTGTTAGGCTGGGCATTCACCCATTGGTAACTTTGGGTGTTTTATTGGAAAACTATTATCCTTGTTCTCTCTTTCTGCACTAATCCTATTAAAGTTCGTCCACACTAAGAGTGTGTTTGTTTTTATGCGGCAGATGGCAGAACCCATTTAGAGTTGCAGGTTTGGGTGTCCTGGGGTGCCCCTCAGTCTGCACCCTAACAAACACAGAATGTCTTTTCATTTATTCATGTCCTTTAAAATTTCTTTCAGAAACATTTTGTAGTTTTCAGTACACAAGTGTTTCACCTCCTTGTTTTTTTTTTCCGCTATGTTTTAAAATTCTTTTGATGGTATTATAAATAGAACTGTTTTCTTTAATCAAAGCAGACAGTTTTGCTTCCGTGATAGCTCTTATCCTTCATTCTACTCTCCCTTTCCCAAGGCCGGCTGATACTAATTAGGAAGAGAACGCAGGCCACCCAGAGGGTCACCTTTGCCCTGGGAAGTGGCTGCAACTCTGAATCTGCAGAAGGAGGGAGTCAAGCTGATTTAGAGGAGACCTGAGGTTGTTCAAGGTCTTTCAGTCTTGCAGACACATTTATCTACTATACTTTATTCAGAGTACAAGTACGCATTACTTCCAAATACTACTTCAAGCAAAGGGAAGAGAAATACAGCAGCTGTTGGGAGGCTATTCAAATTTAAGGTCGACTCCAGCAAAAACTGCAAAGGTAAACAGCCATGCCATCTCCTCATACCGGTTTCACTTTGATTTTTTTCTTCTTTTATCCTGCTCCCCTGTTCCCCAGGTACCTCCCTGCCTCCCTTCTCTTTGCTGAGTACCCTTTCCGCAGCATCCTTAACAAAATGCGTCTCTTCCAGTAGAATTCCCTTAGGTCTCTGCTGGGCAAAAGCAAGCGCTTCCTGAAAAATTGCAAAGTGAGAACAGGCGAAGTTTGCATTTTAACAAGGTGACAGCTTAATCTAAGTCACGTGACAGCATCTTAACTGAGCAAAGTGACACAATCAATCGAATCTTGATGATGTCACCAGGAACGTAATGCTCTGCCTGGGCCTGGACTTGATCTGACGGTGGACGGAGAAGCCGGGGGCAGATGACTTGGAGTAAGGCTGGCCTTTGAAGCAAGGCAGCTGTCCTAGGCAAGCTGCCCTGGGGGCTGACCTCAGCCCTGCCTTTGAATGGATTGTCACAAGGTCTCAGGGAGCTTGGCACTGTAATTGATATTGGTCTGTCAATGACCCGATTCTAACCTTAGAGCTTCCTACAGACTTGAGGTCGGGAGGGATGTATCCTCAGTGTGGTTCGATGGTCCTCAGTTTGCTCTAGCAGGACTCTGTTGATTTCACAAATGAGGAAGGTTTGTTTACAAGCCACCGCAGACTGAAAATGGAGGGCCCATATCCGAGCAGGGGAGGGCATCTAGCAACGGGAGGCCTGCAGGCTGCAGTGTCCCTCCGTGGCTGTGGCCGTGAGCCTCTGGGGATGTCACCTGTGCAACTGCTATGGGGGTGTGGGGGTAAGAGCTCCAGGATCCAGACCTCCTGGTGATCCCCTTCTCTGCCCAAGGCCACTTGAGGCCTGGGCTGCACAATTCCTCAGCTCTGCTGTGCAGGAGGGGCTTGGCAGCCAGGGATCCTGCTTTGTGTGGGCTGCTCCACAGAGCTGTCTGTAAAGTGAATTTGATACAAAGTCCGCAAACATTTCCCTGCAAAAGGCACATTTTATCTCCCTTTCCAGAACCTCGGATCTGGAGCCAAGCTTGGTGGTGTGCCAGGCGGGCTCTACTCTGTATTTCTCATGCACTCTCAGTGCTGTGGGTCTGCCTTGCACCTACAGAACCCCCCGCTCAGCACCCTGTGCGGAAGGAAGGAGGGTGTTGCGGGCAGTCGAGGGGAGACAGGCAGTGCCAGCAATCCCTCCCGCCCCAGGCCAGGTCACCAGCCGCTTTAGGTAGGGCAGAAGAGAGAAAACACAAAAACAAAAAACAAAGGCAAGCACTTTTTTCCTACTTCCTTCCTCCCGTGCACCTAGTTTGTGTTGGTGGAGGCTAAGAATTGATTACTGTTTTGGGGCCTCTGATTATAAACCCGTATGTGTAGAGATTCAGTGGTAAGATTAGAACCTTCTTTGTTCAGCCAACGCAATCTCATGTTATTACACCCTCCCTCTCCACGCACCACCTGTTTCTCTCCTTACCTGGCTCTGACACCCCGAGCCTTCTCCCCCTTTTATCTTTGCTGCCTGCTAATTCCTGTTTCATCAGGTGGAGGGCTGCTTCTGGAAATTAAGGTTTTGGGGTGACGTTCATCAGCTTCCTCTGTTTGGGTAGAGCAGAGTCCTGAAGATTTCAGTAAGCTCCCGCTGAGCCCTCCTCAATTATTATCTCCAGCGTGCATCTGACACCTTTAATTTATAGCCTTCAGTTGCAAAGAGAGCTTTAGCAGTGTGTATATTTTGTCTCCAGCCCCCAGAAAGTCAGACTGGGTGAAAGGAACTTCGGGGCTACTTCCAAGCAGCTCCAGAATTCTCCAAGTGTTTCATGTGCCTGACAGACCTGGGGACTTCATCTTTATGGGTACCCGGACCCCTGGAGGCCCAGTCTGCAGTCAGTCCACATTTACAACGACCACCCTCCGGGGTGTTCGGAGGGATTGTCTTAGGAGCTTCCCGTTCAGGCGCTGGGGTGGACAATGACATCCTCTCCAGATGAAAGTCAGGAGGCAGATGCCACAGGAACCAGAGGCTCCTCTAAACTCCTTCGTAATAAGAGAGCCCAACCGCCACTTCTTAACAACTGTGAAGCCATGATAATAGGCCTAATAAATTTTCCTTGCAGTTTCAAGAGGATGTGGTGTCTTCCACTTCCTGTCCAAACTGCTCTGTATTGTTGCGCCAGGCAGCAGCTGCTCGGGATCAAGACAGGCCAAATTCCAGCTGGGGAAGGAGGGGCGGTGTTTGGGGTGCCACAGCGACGTGGGGCCACTTGCTTGGGTGGTGGAGGAACTGTCAGTTTCCATGCACAAGCTGTCCTAACACCTGTCCAAGCAGGACGTGGAGTGTTGGGTGGAAAAGAACCCAGAACTACTGTTGTAATCTTCCAGATGAAATCCTCAGGGCCTGCAGGGTGAAGAGACTTCCTTGCTCATGCTAACCCGCTGTCATCTGCCTGGCAAGTTCTCTTGTCATTTTACTTCTTTCAGAAATAGCCGGCAGGAAAGAAAAACTAGAGGATCTATGTGAAGAAACTGGGGAGAAAAAGCTCAGGTGTCTCTGCCCGCCTTTTCCCTCCCCTGCTCCCTTTGGTACTTTGAACATGCCTGTAATTCTGAAATAATTTCAAAATTTTAAAGCTTAGAAAGCAAATCACACTTTGATTGTGGTAGATGATTGTGTTGCCTGCATTGGGTGAAAACTTAAATACAGACAAGTCATTGGCCTCACCTTAAAGTAACAACCCTTCTTTTTTTTATTTTATATATTTTTTACATCATTTTTCATTTTTGCACAGTGTATGCATTTTCATCTTGGTTATAGTCCTCATACAATTCCCACCCCACTTATTTTGGCCATAATCCCTCCTCCAACCCCTCCCACCCCCATTAGTGTGTCTCTGGTTTATAGTTGCTTGTTGATTTTGATTTTTACTTTATTATAATTAGTCTTTTTCCTGGTCCCTTATTTAGGTTTCCTAAATTCCTGTTATGAGTGAGACTATCTGGTAATTTTCTTTCTCTTTCTGGCTTATTTTGCTGAGCATGATCCCTTCCAGCTCCATCCATGTTGCTGCAAATTGCATGAGGAAGTATAGGCAAAACACTACATGACATACACCTCGGTAACAGCCCTTCTAGAAGCAGCCGGGCGCCTCCGAGCCATCCTGCTTGCCTTTCCTGAACATCTCTATCTTCAAGTTTATGGGGCCATAAAGATGTACCTAATTTGTGTTGTGGCTATTCAAACAGCCATGAATTAGGGTTCACTTGATTTATTTGCTAAACTTTAAAATCTTAAAATCATTTCAGATTGACAGAAAGTTGTCCTTCTGGTAGAAAGCACTCCTAGATTGCCTGAATCCTTCAATATTAAAATTTTACCTCCTGTGTTCCTTTCTCTGTCTCATAGTGATTGCCAACTTTTCAGGAACTTTGTGAGCTAGTTGTTTAACTTGGCCATTGCTAAATACTATTTTAAATTAACTTACAATTATATTAAAAATAAGGAGGCAGCTGCCACAGTGACTTGAGCCTCCTCAGAATTCCAAAGTCAAATCAATACTTCACTAATCAATACTTAAAATTCATCTCTTTCTAATTTTTTCACTATTGTCTGTGCTCTGGAGATGGCTTCCTGCTCTTCTGTCTACCGCGCACGCTTTCATGCTTCCCTTCCTAATTCCATGTTCAGCAAGCCTTCAGAGAGACAAATCAGGGCTTGATTTATTGTTCTGTTGTGTGTCTAAAAGTGATGAGACTGTGCTAATAATGCAGAAAAAGTGTCCTGTACTTACAACTATTAAACCGAATAGCAACCCCAGCTTGGCTATCTATATGGGAGTTTGCCAACAAATCACCAAAAGCATTTTGGAGAATCAGTTGTTCATTTAGAATTTACAATAAAGGGTATTTATTACATGTTTAATTTTTGCGTGCTGCAAATTCATTCTATCAAAATATTTTCTAGTTTTATGTGTTTACAAATATATGTGTATCTTTTTGGAGAGCTGGCTATTAAACACTTCCCAGACACTACTATATATACCTATTATATTTTATCTGAGTTAAGTTGTACGTATATTGCCCCTGTACCTCTGGATAGTTCAGAATGTATCTGAATGCAGGCATTCTCATACACAACTACAGTGAATTACCAAGACCAGAAATTAGCATTAATATAATACTTTTACATCATCTTGATCTTTTTTAAAACTTACCAGTTGTCCAGATAATGTCCTTTTATTGTTTGGGAAGTAATCCAGAATCATTCATTGCATTAAGTTTGCATGTTTCCTTATATCCCTTTATCTGGAATACTTGTGCATTTTGAAAAAACACCTCTGACGACTCTGATATTTTTGAATAGTAGAACCAGTTATTTTATGAAATGTTCCTCAATTTTGATTTGCCTGATGTTTTTTCATACATTGATTTGGAGTTTGCATATTTGGTACAAAAACACAGAAGTGATGTGTCCTTTATGTTTTACATGGAAGATAGATGATGTTAGCTTATTTCTTTATAGGTGGCACATTTTAGTCATTTTGTTCAGGTATTTGTCTACCAGTTTCTCTCCTATAAAGTTATTATTTTCCCCTTTGCAATTAATAGGTATCTTGTGGGGAGATAATTTGAGACTAGAAAAGCGTTTAGTTTCTCAGGCTTTCATCCATTAGGTTTTGCATACACTGCCGATTTTTGCATGCTACTCGTTACTACAATAATAATCAATTGCATATTTTTGAATTTTATCCGTATACTTGTTACCGGGTCTTCCTTAAGCATATTCATTATTTACTTATCTCAGTTTGAACTCAGATATTCCTTTTATACTCAGTGGGTTATAATCCATTACTATTTTTATTTTGATGTTCAGTATGTCTCAGATTTGACTGAGGAGAGCCCCTTCCAACTGGCACCTGTGTCCTCTTATAAGTCAGGTTTGTTGTGGTATAATTTGCAGACAGAAAAATACATGGTATTTAAGAGAAGAGTT